AATCATGAGCTGACTGGTACAACTAAAGGAATTCTGGGCAACTTTGTAAAAGTGTGACACAAACCCAGAACCTCACAAAAACGTTCACAGGTCATTACTCCGTGTTAGAACAAACCAACCACTGTGCAGAAGTATTTGAACCCCAGGGTCTAGAAGAGGTTAGAGATTTACCATTTAACACATCGTCAAGATGAGAGTAGCAGGGATTTGTTTACATCAATCATAGTATTTTTATGACCACTGACAGCTCCCTAGCAACCAAACAGTTTACCCTAACAACCACATCTAACAACCACATTTTCTAAACTCTATCTCAACTTTAGAATATGATAGAGGTATGGGGATTGGTTATGACTTATAATATGACATATCCCTCCATAGCAACCAGATTGTTTATCCTAGCAACCAATTTGGCAGAGTCATAGTTCAGATTTGGAAAATTGTAAAGACAGAGGGTTTGATTTATATAACTTATGATGATGCACATTGCACATTGTATTCTGCCACCGATCCCTCCATAGCAACCAAACTGTTGTATGTGTCAATGTTGTTGCTATGTCAAAGTTTAATGATATGTTTAAATGCCACTTTTACAAGTTAGTGTACAAATACTAGCTATCTTGTTATCTATTATTGTTCTTTTTATTTGTTTTTTGGACCATCTATTTAATGTGTGTAAAGAAGTTGGATATAATTCAACTACTGTTATTCACACACACACACACACACACATAATATAGATATTTAAGCATTCGTAGCTTAGCACGCGAGAAGTGCAGAAACTCTTTCAATTACTGCTAAGCTGACATTTGCCTAGCTGTTATCCCAAGATCTTTAATCAATGCTGATGTGAGAGGAACGCCAAAGCCTGCACTGATTTAATACTTTCACCCATGGTAAAGATGAATGTGAAACATTTATGATCATCTGTAATAGACGTGTACAGGAGGCTCGATTAAGCTTGCTCTCAGTGTCAGACAAACATCTTGTGGCATTTGCGTTCTGTGTTTCACACGATATGAATAGTTCAACTTTGTGGATTAGTCGTCATTTATCATCAGTCGAGGAAAGAGGAAACACTTTACCACTTCTGCTTTTTAGTACTTTAGAAAGGTCACTTCAGATACTTCCAGACTCATTTGAATGGAATTCCGAGCACTTACGGGAATAGTTCTACAAGAAAATAATCATTGTTTATCCTCATATTTAGTACAAAGCAAAGGCATAAAAGTGCACGCTTCACCTTTAAGGGTGAACGCACAAATTCTATTCATTTCACATTCATTCTCCTCCAATTAACACCAGTCTCCAAGGGTTGCCAGATCCACCTGTTCAAATTATTCTCGACTCTGCTTTACATAGCTCTAAACTCTGAAATATATTAGTCAGTGGACACACCGCAAATTCCTCTCATGTGGCTCTCATCCATCTTTGTAATTCAGCAAAGATCTTTTTTGTTTCCTCTGAGATGCCGCAGGGTTGAATTATGGGCCCGCTGATGTTGTTTTTGGACTGCTTTTTGGAAAAGATTGCACAAGACAGGTTTCCCCGCCTTAAATAAGGTATAAAAATGTCACTTTATGAGAAATTTACACTGCTGGAGTCAGCCACGGCCCATTAAAGACTGCTTGATGCTATGTAGGGCTATAGACTTACTCCATGACTGTAAAGGCATACTTCAGTAAAAATATAACGAATTAAAGAGGAAGTTTAACATTTGCAGCCAAATTATAATGCGCTTCAGGCTCTGGACAAGAGATTGAATGAGGAATGAAGGAGAATGTTTCCTGTGTGGCCTCTTTCAGCGTGAACAAATCACACCATTCATGCAGATGTTTATAAGATTTCAGCAGTTTTATGTTTCATTGGCGGCGACTTTATGATTTTGATTTAATTTGTTATGTTTGGGCAAGCAACCTTAGTTTCAGTCGTCAAAGATGAGACTTTTATTTTTGGGTTCTGCAGAAAAATCACATATTTTAGATGCACTGCAACTAACTGTGCTTCCTTGTTCACCTTTTGAAGCTTAAAGTTCACCCCAAAATGCAAAGTAGTCAGTCAAGTGTATGGCCAAATTATGACAGCTACCTTTTTAAAAAAATATATAACAAAAATGTAATAATAATAACTGTGAGCTTAAACCCAGCAGTGATCCTGCCCCTATGGAAACAAAAAAAATCTTTGACCAAAGCGTTTTATAAGCTCCAGTTCTTTTATCAGTTCTTTTCAAGACTTAATCCTGGCTTCATACAACAAATACAAAGTCAAGGCAATGTTTCTTGCACCCGAGACTAAGGCTACCATTTTTTTCACCCCTTTTTTAAATCCATATACAGATAACAAATAAAATGTTCATAACACACTATAACTTAGATGATAATAATATTAATAATAATAGTTCTGTAATAATATTCAATGATACATTTGGGTGAACAACGGTTGGACTGAGAATATAGTCACTGTCTGTGTTATAAACAGGAAAATATTTAGAGATTCAGTTAATTCCCTAGAGACACATCCCTGAACTCCCTCTCCTGAACCAAATCGCAACGAGGAATCCAGCATCCAATCACAACACACTTGACTGCTCCCAGAACTACACAGACCTATGGTAAACACCTCCTGACTCTCCTTGATGGTCCTTGCCTTCTTGGTCTTCCACTACGCCCCAGCCCTGTGTTTTAAGTGAATCTCCCATCTGGATAATCACCTCTACCTTTACCTACTAGTATTGTGGTGCTCAAGACCGGTCTCAATACTAAATTTCTATGGTTTCAGTATCGTATTGGTCTCGACTATTTGGGATCTCGGTATCGTCTTGAGTGTCTCTGATCTTGGTCTCGACTGCACAGGTATCAAAGTGATTTTAATCCAAGAACAAAAAGCAAAAATCCACAGCAGCATAGAAAAAGTGTTTGCAATAAGAAAAAGTAAATTTTTTTGGACTTGACTTGATCTTGGCCAGTCTCAGCTTAGCATGCCTTGGTCTTGTCTTGTTCAAGACCAAGTACTCTGTGGTCTCAGCTGGGTATTGGTCTCGATACTCTCCAGTCTTGGTCTCGGTCAAGACGGTATTACCAACAAGACAAACTCTCCTTTCCAACTCTTCCTCAAAAAGAAACCTTGTTCCTGCCTCCTGTGAAGACGTCGTGCGTTCTTTGTCACTCTCAACAACTCAGGAATATCATACTTCTGTACTGCTTTTAAGAATTTAATAAAACCTTTTACAAAGCTCATCCACGCCTTTTCCTACCTACAGAGGCAGCAGATAATGGTATGTATTGATAAAGGAAACAACATAAAAGAAAATGTCTAGTGGAAAAGTACAAGATTTGTACTAATCGAAACCAAGCTGAGCCAAAGTGCACCATGCATGTGAAAAACATCATTTGTCTTTTTTATTTATAAAAGTGAGACAATCTAATAACTGTTTGTATTCACAAAGTTGTGTGATTAAACCATCAAGTGTATTATAAAGGGAGACAAAACAGAGGGGTTGCACATGTTTTCTGTGAAATTGCCTCATTAATATGTTTTGCCAATATTAAGGTTATGTATCTCTGAGTGTTCATTAAACATAGCAAAAATGATCAACAGTCACGCCCGGGCTCTCCTCGGGGCTCTGTTGACATCCTAATGATGTCGTTTCATGACTGATACCATTCTCTCAGGAATCGATCCTAATTTAAGGGTCGTCTTTGGGATCATTAATATTTCATCATTTTCAGAGAACCCAGGTAGACAAGTTTTTCTTTGCTGGGAAAATCTTTATTAAACATTTATTAGATTTAAAGATGTTGACTTCTCATTTTTACTTTAGTTGTAAACCTTGTTAAAACTTGAGTAAAACGGGGAGTCAATGGTTATAATGGTTGTGCCAGTGAATAAATTGTTTTATTTACTAAAAGATTTCTGTAAATAAATACAGAAAAAAAATCGATGCTAAATAATCCTGGGCTGCCCTTGAATAGAAAATGTCTGTAATTTCCAATTTAAATTCTCTGATATTTAATTAAATTCATTTAATTTCATTAATACCTTGACTTGGCAAAGGGTAAACACACATGGCAACCGCATGATGAGTTCTCATGTTTATTCATGTTTGATTAATGCATGCAAGAGTCTGCAGGTCGAGTGTTAAATGTGAGACACGGAAGATCTTCTAATAATAGATGTTCTCTTATCTAGATGAACTTTTACACGTCATGGTACATATGTATTGTTATTATTATTATTGACACAGATATAATACTAACATCACCAACAGCTAACCTGCTGCTGTTAGACATAATTGCATGTTAAGTAGTTAATTTTGACAGAGGAATAATTAAGTTACACAAATACAATTTAGTCATTTTATTAATCAGTGTTGTTTTTGGTTATGGCTTGATTTAATTGACTAAAATAACTCTTTTTAAATATTAAATCTAGACTGAAAAATTGTATTGCAGTGTGTTTATTTAGTTAAAAAAATACATTTTTCCTTTCAAAAAATATATGATCCATGTTATATACCTTGTGCACAATGTTTATCCAACAATGGTTTAAATAAACTTTATGTAAAAAAAAAAAAAAAATCATGTTTAAGAGTGTCCATATTGTGCCCAGTTTCAGAGAGAGATTATTAATTAATAAATGTGTCTCTTTTAGAGGTAATTAGGTATTAATTTAGGTAACTACCTGAGATTCCTAATCACTTTACCGGTGTGTGTGCCAAACACATTGGCTGTTTTGAATTAAATAGAAATGATGCAACCCAGCTATTGTTTAATTTTGATTTATACAATGTGTAGGTTATTAATTATGATATTTTTTAACAAACATTAAAATAATTATGACACATAATTTGCAAGGTAATTAAAATATAAGAAATTACACAATCGTCTTTTAGTTTACATTTACAGACCCAAAATCAGTGCCATCAGTGGTGGAAAAAAAGGTATAAAATTAGCAATTTTACGCTTTTTGTTTTATTATTTGGATTTTATTTAAGCATGGCTTCTTTGGCCCAGTGGTTAGAGCGCTGGCTTATAGATTGAAAGGTTGATGGTTCAAAACCAGCCTCAGAGAGTCTGAAAACCTTTTCTTTCAAAGTTCATTGGTGGTGGAACTCTCTTGCAGTCCCAATCTGGAAAACTGAGTCAACCTTAAGTCTCAAACTCTACTTTTTTGAGAACACGTATAGACATAAAAAAAAACCTCCGATAAGCCTGTGGATCTGGGCAGCTGCATGCGGTTGTCTGCAACTCAAAATTGTGGCTAAAATCGTCCAATCTGAAACTGCCTTAAATCACTATGAATGAAAGTGTCTGCTAAATAGAAATGTAAAGTTTTACAGATTTAAAAGAGCAACAGAAAAACACAGAGTATTCAGAATGTTAGAATAAGGCTGCAATGTTGGTCATAAAGTGAAAAGAATAGTATATCTCTGTATCTGAAATTTATATAGGGTAGAAAGGGTCATTAACTAAGCCTTACCATTGTAGACCAGTATTCCAGCATGACAATGACCCAAAACACCAAAAACAGTTCATAAGAGTGCAAGGTCCTGGAGAGTACTTGCTGGTCTCCCATAATATTTTTTGTGAAGGGAGATAAAACTTGGAGTTTCCACCCTTTTGAATCTTAAAAGGGTCATGAGGTGTTGAGCTTTTTCGTAGCTTTTATAGTGATTTAAAAGAGTAAATTAAATTAAACATGTTTGTTTCTTTAAAAAAAAATGTTTTTTATTTGTGCCAATGATGAATTTAATTGGTTACGTCAAGTCTGGATATGAAAGACCTGATTTCCAGATAGTGATGCAATATCCAAACACACGAGAGTCAGAGGGAAAGACGGAGCTAGTAACACAAATGTATAACGTCAATAAATGAACTTGGTGTACCACGATGAAGACTCGATCATTCAATGCAACTGTGGTGAACATTTTGGTGCTGAGCCCAGACCCTAATGAGCAACTGGAAAGTGTTGATAAGGGAACTTACCTGTTTGACATGGGATCATGAGATGTCTTGACATGGTTACATTTTTGACGAGGGTTTGAATTCCAGTAGGGGCAGACTCTATTTAAAAAAATATTCAGGAGTACTTTTTGTCATTTTGCTTGAATGTTTTTACTCACAAAATAAAACAAGATGTTATTTCACTGAAATGTAAATGCTTTTTAAACAAATTTGAAACAAAATTAAACTGCATTACATGGAGGAATTAGGCAACATCTGGGTCACCACTGAACATGGTCACAACTTGTTTAACTAAAATAAATTTAAATTAAAAAAATTTACTTACTTTTTTCTGCTGCCTGCCCCCTGGAAACATGAGCCTCTGTTAAGGTTTTGTTTAGCTGAAAATCCTTCATCAAGATCCATCGTTTCTGCCTTTCTCTCTAGAACCCTTTAGATCAGATCAGCCAATAAAAACTTGCTACATGCAATACTTCTCTCTGATTGGTCTTGCCGTAATTAAGTAATTTCTTTAGTGGCTTGTTAATCTACAGTTCTTATGTATTTATTAATTCTTCTGGAATTGAATTATCCAGAGCAAATGAGAAAACATTCAGAAATCAAAACCCTACATGTCCAGTCCAGGTGAAGCCACACTTCGGTATCCCGTTCTGGCACATAGATGTAACGTTGTATTACGTTTACTCCAAATGCCATTACAGCATCTATCAATGTTGCTAAAAAAGTTGATAGATGTGAGAGAGATTAATTAAGAGCAACTTCAATACTCAGCTATGTTGGCCTTCAAACATTAACTTTGCATACACGTCATGAAAATCAGTAACCAATAGGTTATTAATTCATTCATTCATTGTCAAACCACTTATTCCCTTTTTGGGGCCATGGGGCTGCCAGCGCCTATCTCCAGCACACAGTGTACACCCTGGACAGGTCGCCATCGAATTTAGATTATTCAAATAACCTAATCGCATGTTTTTGAGATTTTGAGGGAAACCGGAGTACCTGGAGGAAACCCATGCAAACTCCTTTCAGGAAGGTCACCAGCGAGCCTCGAACCGACAACCTTTAAAGTGGAAGGCCAGTATTTTTCCGGAACATTTTGTTGTCATTCTGATTCTCAGTTTTGAAATAATCCGTTTTTTTTTTTTTTGACTGATCAATTCTTTATCTGCCAATACATCCGAAATCAGAAGAGGAGCAAATAATAATTTCCCTCGCGATTGACATTTTAAAAAAAGGTTCACTCTCAATGTTGATTCAAAATGCGTTGGTCCTAAAACAATTGAATCCCTCTTATTGATTTAATCCATATTTTACCATATTTTAAATCCCAACTGTTCTGTTTAAACCAAGTTTTGCAATATCTCGAAATAGATTTTCTTTTTAAAATCACTTTCCTCATTTTTTTCGCATACCCAATGCACAAACCTCACCGTCAGCTTCCTGATGAACCAATCTAATTAAAACTAAGAGACAATGCCAGAGTCCGAAGGGGCTTCTGGAGATAAAGGCAGCAATGTATGCCAGCAGCCGTTCGGAACGACGTGGTTAATGAGCTCTGAGTTACCCGAGCATCACACCGCGACAGAAACCATAGCACCGCTCTTCAGGGCCCAACAGAGCCCGGCTGAGAGCCAAGGGGGCATCCTGGAGAGAGACAGGGGTCAGTTGTTGTAATAGAATCCTGCCCCGTGCTGGTCCTCTTGAGCAAAGACACTAGCACTGAGGTGAACGATACTCTTCAGACACACTCCTCAAACCGGTCAAGGCTTCCAACCTGCAGGTTATGCATTTATTATTGCCATTAAAGCGCGCTAATGCAACGCTCTTGGTATTCATGAATGCTCGGTGTTAATCCAGACGGGGTCAATGTGGAATAAAACACACTTCACCTTTTCTATTTGAGTTTATGAGTGTTTTCATGTTTAGATGAGGCAGGAAATTAAATTAAATGAAAGTTCACACAGTCAAGGATTTTCTGCTGTAGTAGTCGTGCTCCTTGATTTGCACATTTGTTTTTCATTTATTCCAGGCTCTATTCTGAAGGGATTGGTGCACAAAATGTGTTGGTTTTACAATTTGAAATGGCAGATGTTTTACATTCATAATAGTATTTTCAATGAGTAAGATTTTTTGGGGGGTTGCCAGATTTCTGTAGAAGTTTGCACAAGCACACCCTCAAGATAAAATTCCCTCAAAAATAAAAATGTACACATTGTGTAATTCTTATGTGTTTACAGAACATTTCTGTTTTTGTATTTGCACAGTGTACTGAAAAAATCAAATCAAACACTCCTACTATCACTAATACCTTTCCACTTTTTTTAAAGATGAAAATGCTATGAGATTCTAAGTTAAAACATCGTAAATAATTAATCTGACTGCACATGTGCAGACCGTGCATTCAAACTTTTGTTTTTTTTTTTTTTTTTGCTCAGGTGCACCCTTAAGATAATATTCCCTCAAAAATATAAATGTGTAAAGTGTGTAATCATAAAGTGATTATGAATACTCTGTGGAAGAACCAGAGCACACGTTTTGTAAAGGTCTTGAGACAAAAAAAATGTAAACATGAAATTACAAAAATTATACTAACTTGACACTAATGATTACCTCAAATAGTTACAAATACTCTTCCTACTACTACCTTTTCCACTTTTTATTGTGAAAAATGCAAGGACAAAATTTGTGTATGACGTGTTTGTTTGGTACAATGTAAGTCACTTAGGATAAAACTGTCGGACAAATGCATAAATAAACATTTTAAAATGGGATTTTTTCCCCTATGGGCTGGTCACAAAACAGCACTGTGTAGATAAGAAAGAAACTACTGAATCTTCATCCAGTTCATACCACACAGAATTGTACACCACTGTAAAAAAAGAGATTTAGAGTAAAAATTCTATAAAAAATTACAGTTCTTTCCTCTATAATTACACTGTAAACTCTTTTTTAAAAACTCTGTAATGTAAAAATAAATAAATAAAAATAAATTAATGGAATTTTAATGTTTATTCTCAGTAAGCTGACACTTAAATGTAATTTTAATATTTTTATACCCAACTTTAATTTCCTTTAAAAGTTAACCTACAGTCCTGCAGCTAGGTTTTTATTTATTTATTTTTTGCTGTTAACATACTAAAGCCTACTATTGAAACACTGGTGAATGGGCAACAGCAACTAATCCATTATTTTTACGCCCATTATTATAAAAAAAACTAAATCTGTTGCAATTTACCATAGACTGTCTTTATAGAAACAATAATTCCCGAAAAAAAATTATAACTGTTGTAATTAAATCTGAGTATTCTGAATATTTACATCTGGTAACAAAATGCATGACTTTAATCTTTTTTCATTATCATTTCCAGCTCCCACCAACAAACATACAAAATGAGTATGTTTTCCACAAAAAAAAATAGTCACAAAGAGACAGCAATCGGGAGTATTCTAAATATCAACATGGACCTCTGACGGAATATAATGTTTATTCATTCTTTCATCTTCTAACCCACTTATTCTTCACATTCGGGGAAACGGGGGTCTGCTGGTACCTATATCAGGAGCACATCGGGCGAGAGGAGGGGGTACACCTTGGAGAGGTCGCCGGTCCATCGCAGGGCATTTTAAACTCAATCAATTCAAAACAAGAAACTATTTCCGCCATGTTTTTGCACAACAAAAATGATCTTTTATGGAAAAACGTTCCACGTCAATCTGAAAACATTAGAAGTAACAAAACATTGTGATTTCCTAAGAAACAGATTGACATGTTAACATCCTTAAACATAATAATCATGAAATATAAAATAATATTTATTATAATTACATTATATACTAAACATTTACTGTTATTCTCCACAAATTCATCGAGTGCAAATAATTGTTTAAGTGAATCCAAGTTTTATAATGTGCATTATGGGAGATACTGCATGCACATGCATGTTTAAGAAGCTGTGAGGTGACGGAGAGCTGGTTTTTCTCCTTCCACCTCATTTCATTCCACATTTTTTCTGGACATCGGCTTAAAACTGATCTCTTTCCTTCTTTGAAAACATGATGAGACATAAGGTACAATCTCGCCAAACAACGACGATACAAATCACTC